ATTTGATTGAACCTCTATAATTCTTGGTGTTCCTTTTTCCCTTAACTTTTATTTTTCTGCAATTTATTTTTCGCATTTATTTTTTCCGTGCTTAGTTTTTGAAAATAATTTTAAACTCTGATTTTACTTGCCAAAAGTTTTCAAAACCCAGTTTTTTAAAACCACGCAATTCACCCGTCTTGTGTGTGTGAAGTCTTAACTCTAACAAACCTTACGATTTTCAATGATGAAACCAATGAAGAGCGGGTTAGTTCTAGTAATGACGAATGAGTTGAACTACTATATATTTGGCATACATTTTTCTTTTCCCCATCTCATTTAATTTTCTGCATTATATCATATATGTTGATTTGTTTATCTTTAGAATATCATGTTATCTAGATTTTGATCTTGCATGTAGTGTTCATCATATAAGTGTAGGCCTTTGATGTGTCTAGTTCAATGACTATTCTATTCCTTGATCATAAGTGTAAAAACTTTAATTTTGGATTAATCAATCTTTGATATATCTCAATTTTGAGTTATACACAAAATTGTCTTATGATAAATGTTGAATTACATGTCCAAACAACTTCTTTTACCTCGATTATATTGACTTTGATTGAATCATGCATATTGTGAGATATTAAAATCAAACTCTAGTTGGTCGAAGGTAGCTTCTTGGTTTCTACAGTTCGACAGGGTTTAGCCTGTCGTCGAAGATTGCTCATGTGTTGTTGTCAAAGAATTACATGATGTAGTTGAAAGGTGTTCTATTGTGTAGATGTCGAAGAATGCTAGGATTGTTAGCATCAAATTAGGCATGTTTGTTTTGTCCAATTGTTTAAGTTAGCTTGTACCCTAAGTTAGCTTGTAATGGGTATTTTGTGAAAAAGTCTATTAATTTAGTATGTTAGGTTTATTATAAATAGCATACTAGTCTCTCATTATTGCAGATTGCAAATCCTAATTTAGGGTGAGAGGATTATTTGTTATTCTTGAGTACTTGTAATCTAATTTAAAGAGAAAGTAAAGAATAGAAGTGAATAACAAATTCCTTGTGTTCTTCTTGTTTTTCCATCTTTTCTATCCTTGTGTGTTTCTTGATCATAGAGAAATTGTTTATACTTTGTTTTTAAGGCATCTTTTTCACAACAAATTAGTGCGGTGAGCATGGAGAAGTCCAAGTGCTGAAGGTTTCGACATATCATAATGCTGCTGATATGATCACCAAGGCATTGTCTAGTTGAAAGTTTTTTCTACTGTATGCAGTTGATAAAGCTGCATGAAGAAAGCTAGTTTGTTCTTTGATGTTATAGAGTTGTTCCAAGGTGGAGATTTGTGAGATATTGGAATCGAACTCTAGTTGGTCGAAGGTAGCTTAGTTTATCATGTCGTTGAAGATTGCTCACATGTTGTTGTAGAAGAATTATATGTTATAGACGAAAGGTGTTCTAGTGTGTAGATGTCGAAGAATGTTAGGATTGTTAGCATCAAATTGGGGTTGTTTGTTATGTCTAATTGTTTAAGTTAACTTGTCGGAATATATCGCCCTCACTGAAGCAGTGAAAGAAGCATTGTGGCTTGAAGGTTTTGCTAAGGAGCTGAAACTTCAAGGTCAAGTTATCACTGTTAAATGTGATAGTCAAAATGCAATACACCTGTCGAAAAATTCAATATATCATGAGCGAACAAAGCACATCGATGTGAGGCTATATTTCGTCAGAGGGGTAATCGAGCGTGGAGAAGTCCAAGTGCTGAAGGTTTCGACAGATAACAATGTTGCTGATATGATCACCAAGATATTGCCCAGTTGCAACTTTTTTTCATTGTATGCAGTTGATAAAGCTGGATAAAGAAAGCTAGTTTGTTCTTTTATGTTATAGAGTTTGTTCCAAGGTGGAGATTTGTGAGATATTGGAATCGAACTCTAGTTGGTCGAAGGTAGTTTCTTGGTTTCGACAGTTCGACAGGGTTTAGCATGTCGTCAAAGATTGCTCACATGTCGTTGTCGAAGAATTACATGTTGTAGTCGAAAGGTGTTCTATTGTGTAGATGTCGAAGAATGCTAGGATTGTTAGCATCGAATTGAGTCTGTTTGTTATGTCTAATTGTTTAAGTTAGCTTGTACCCTAAGTTAGCTTGTAATGGGTATTTTGTGAAAAAGCTCATTAATTTAGTATGTTAGGTTTATTATAAATAGCATACTAGTCTTTCATCATTGCAGACTGTAAATCTTAATTTAGTGTGAGATGGTTATTTGTTATTTTGGAGTACTTGTAATCTGATTTAAAGATAAAGTAAAGAATAGCAGTTAATAAAAAAAAATTATTCTTCTTATTTTTCCATCTTTTCTAACCTTATGTATTTCTTGATCATAGAAAAATTATTTATACTTAGTTTCTAAAACATCGTTTTCATAACACATATTTAGATAAATATTAAGACATATAAAACACATAATCTTTCAAATCATTCACTATATTTGTTTCCGCCTACCATCTACATTTTTTCCGATTATTGAACTTTTATTTTATGTAAGAAAAAGTTTTTAAAAACAGTTTAAGAGAATTGGTTTAAGAGAATGGATCTATTTAACCTCTTTTAGACTGTTTAAGCATGGTTTTCTTAACCAATCTATGATCGATGATGCAAAACTTTTTTAAAAGAGAGATGTTAGAAAATATAATCTATTAAAGATAGTTTATTGTTTTTGGTCTTTACTATTTATATTTTTCTATTACTTTTTCTTCCTATTACTCTGTACTATTGAAACTTTGGATTATATTGAAACCTTTGGTATCCATTCATGGTTCCTAGCGTGTTTACTTCAGGATAATGTTTTTCTTCATTTTATCATGTTGAGTTATATCTTTGAAAACTCAAAAATATCTTTTTAATGTATATATTTAAACGCATATTTCAGCATATTTTAGATATGCACATCCGAAAATACTATTTTTCTACGTTTTAATATTTAAACGTTGGATTTAAAATTTTAGAGTTAGTTTCAGATATGCATATCTGAAACTACCTTTGTCGTATTTGATTGCTCCATGGTCAACTCTCCAACTATTTCATTCATTTTATTTCCTTTCCCACCATAATAGTCAAAACCATCAACAAAACATCAATCATTCTCAATGAAACTTTCGTTTCCAAACCAAATTTCAAGTGTTTGAGCGTAACAAATAGAGCATAGAAAGATGCAATTTGAGATAAATTTTCCTCATTTCATCTTACATTCCTTGCATTGGTGTTGATTTGTGAAAGAAAAAAACAGTGTCACTTCGGATATGCATATCCGAATTCAACCTACCATAATTCAGATGTGCATATCCGAAAACATGTCTGTTACAGAAGCAAAATTCTATTTTAACAGAATTTATGTTGTTTTGGCCGTGTTAGGTATGGTGCACCCCGACAATATTCTCAAAATTGTCGTAAAGGTTCCAGACAAGATCAATGAAGATGCTAAGCCGAATGAGATGAAGGATGTTGATAAAATGATTGATGTCGTGATAGATTTTGGACAATTATTTTATAAATTATAAAAGTTTCACATCTCGTCAACATATGCTTGAATGAGTTCGAATGGAAGCTAGCAAACTTGGATTTGGCATTGTGATTGGAAGGTCCGACAATGGCACTAGTAAAAGGCAACCATTTGTTATGATGACATGCGAGAGAAGTGGAAAATATGTTCCAAAACTTCCAAAGTTAAAACAAGATGACACGCGGTCGAGGAAATGTGAGTATTCGTTTAAATTGTGAGGTTCTTGTAGAGTGGATGCATCGTGGCGGTTTAATGCCATTTTTGTATGCATAATCATGCGTTAAACACCAAGCTACAAGGACATCAAATTGTATATCGGCTTAAGCCGGAAGAGAAGGAATCTATTTCAGAATTGTCGTTAATAAAAGCTGCGCCGAGAAACATATTTTCTGGTTTGAAACGGAAAAGACCAGGAAATGTTTCAAATATCAAGTTGATTTACAATTATCGTTATAAATAACACATTGCACAAAAAGGTATGAAATAGACAATCAGATGACTTCAGATATACATATGTAAAGTTAACTAAATAAAAAACGAACCGTGCGTTCAGATATGAACATCCGAATTCTGAAGGTATTTTAGATTTTTCACTGGAAACCTAAAAAAAGACACTAAGTGTAGAAAGAAATTATCTTACTTCAGCATCTGTTTGCCTTGCCGCTGCCGCATGTTTAGAAGCCTTTTACCATTAAATTAGAAAATTGCTAATTCTACCTTCATTGTAAATGAGATACTAGTCTTAAAAATTCTCAGTGTAACCAAACAAACACATACTAGTCTTTTTTATGGATGGACCCTTTTGTTTTCCGAACTAACATAGTAGTAACTTACTTACTAGTCTTAAAGTGTGGAGTGTGGTAACTTGTAACTAAAGTAGTATATTCACAAGGCAGTTTAGATTACACTCAAATATCTCATTTCCTTCTACAACAACATCCACCTAAATCTACTACTTTATCTCATCTTCGGCAGAACTTGTTCAAAATTTTAATAAACTTCAAAACCATCTATGTTGTCACAATTTATAATTCAATTAACCACTCGAAAAACTAAAACAAAAAACCAATTATAACAACTCAAACACATGATAACATTCACATATAGTAACAAACTTTAGTTTATAATAATAAAACCAGAGCTGCGGGCTACATGTTCATTATCCTTGCAACCTCTTCAGCCATTACACACTTTCAAGTTTAAAAAAAAAAAACATAAAAATGGGTTCAAATGCTGGGTAATTAATATACCAACATCACCCATCACATTACACTTTTAACAACACTTTAATAATTTATCACAAACACCCTTTCCCCTTCACTTTCACTTTTCCTAAAACTACCAACTTTTTTATAAACCCTAATACTATTACTATAACCACTTCAAAAAATTTCCGGGAAAATAAAGGAAAATTTGAAGGAGGGAAAAACTTCAAAAACATAAAATATTAACTTTTTCTTTTTTTTTAAACACGGAAATTCTTTCCGGTGAAGGTTTGTCCGAACTGCCAATGAGATGGTGCCACGTTCCACGACGTTGATGTACGACGGTCACTGCCGGTAACCCTAAATGAGAGAGCCTGGCCCACAAAAACTGCATTGGATTGCCAGTTTTGCCCCCAGTTTCGGCTCATTGTCATCCATGCTGTGTTGGTTCCTTTTACACTCACGCGCACGATATCCCCTGCACCCGCGACGTTGCTGATTAAAACCAAGTTGAAGTAACGGAAACCGTTGATTGTGAATCTGATGCCTCCTGTCTTTCTACATGGTACCCTACAATATAAACAAATAAAAAATTAAATTTTTATTTTTTCATTATATTTTTGTCGGTTAATTCACTAAAAAAAGTAATCAATTATTTTATTTTATTTTAGATATTAGTACTAATTTTATTTGTTGTTACAAAGCCCAAAAATATGAACCTTTTTCTGAGCATATGTGTGACCTAGCATCCGTATTAGACTGTGAAAGATATATTTTCTGACTTTAAATCCAGATTTTCTGGAAACAATGTTGTTTCTATATGGTTTATAATTACCAAAACACCCTCCCAGTAGTAGTAATTAACAAAAAGTGGTTGAATGACTCTAATAGCCTAGAAAGTACTATTATGTTTGTTGTTTATTTGAGGCTATTTTAGTCATTTGACACTGACAAAAAAGAAACAAAAGCATATGGACAACCCACCGAAAGAGGCCAAAAGTGATAAATGAATTTGGTAACACATTAATTTCCTACGGATCAAATTAAAATCCACTTACATCAAAATAGCTTAATTACCCATAAATGAAAAACCCATAAAATTGCAATATTACTTACCTAAATGGTTTCTCATCACAATTTCAACGCAAAACAAAATACTAATATTCATTACTCAACATGGTTAGAAGGAAAAACTGTTCTTGGTTTCTATTTATGAGTGTGAAAATGAAATAGAGAAAACACTTGAATGGGAATCTCATGAAGTAGCTGAAGTGACTCAAACACAATTTATTGTTTGTTTCCTAAGAAAACAAACGGTGTTGAAATAAAACATTTGCATACAAATAGAAACAACAAAAATATCTCATTTTCTAAGCTGTTTTTTTTTATATGTTGAGGCGGTGCCTTGTGCAAGTTCATAATTTTTATGAAATTCTATTTATTTATTACAAGTAATTAAATAATAAAGATAAAAGTAATAGTGTAGTGTATTTAATAGGTATTTTTAATAAACTTAAATGTATAAACACATCAAACATTGTTTAGAGAAGAGTCATTTAGGAAAGAAAGAAAAAGGAGAGAAAGAAAGAGAAGAGAAAAGAAATCTCAAAATTCTCTTGCAAGTTTTCTATGAAAAATTCAAAAAGTTAAAAACTTGAAAACAACCCATTAAAGGAAAAGAGGTGGTGGAGTAGAACTCACCGGCGGTAAGCGACGGGGACGATTCCGGCGCGGTACTGAGCGATCTTGAGGAACATGGGCATGGCAAGATCGAAGTGTGGACGAGGTGGGTTACACCAGCCACCATTGTCGCTAGGTTCAGCGAAATTGGGAGGACAAAAGTTTGTTGCAGTGATTAAGATTGAAGGGTTTCCTGGGTTACACCAACGAGGATCTTGGTCGCACTTGAGCTCAAAGCATGCACCGCAGCTTAAGCCATTGTTGAATAGTGCGGTGCTTAGAGCGGCGGTGTTGACGCCGTAGCCTTGGCTGTATAGGTTTCCGTAGCCACAAGCACCACCTGAAAATAGAAGGAAAAAAAGTTGAAATGGGTAGTGGAAAAACAGGGGAAAACAGAGTTTAAGGTTGTTTGTTTTTGTTTACCCATTGTTCCGGAGGCGTCGCTGCCGCCGTAGAAAGTGGCGTGAGCGCTAGTCCAGGGACCACCGGAGTAGACTCCGGGGATTCGAGCGGTGGTTGGAGCAAAAAGTGAGGAAAGGGATGCAATGGTGAGGAGGAGAATTGCAGCCATTGCAAGAGAGAGAAATAGGGGTGAGTAGGTTGTGTTGTGTTGTGTTGTGTTGTTGATTTGGGGATGAGTGGAAAGTGAGAAGGTGGAAGGGGGTACTTATGGAGGGGAGGCTAAGGAGTGGTGGAATGGAATAGGGTAATGGACCTGCAGGTTGTGCAGTAGTTTTTGAACTTATTGTTACCTTCTAATTAATGGGCCTTCTATTTACCAAACACAAAAAAGGCCTTGTTTGCTTTTCTATTTTCATGTGATCTTATTGTTCTTTCTTTCTTTTTTTTCTTTTGGAAGACTACTTCTTTCATCCTTTTAAGTTTGACAAAAAATTTGAATTTGTTTCGGATCGGTTAAACGGTCTAACAAGACCGACTCAATACCTAAGGTTCATGTGGATCTTTGATAAAGGACTCTATATGTTAAATTTAAACTACTCGTTTATCATCAGTTGTTAGATCTAAATCCACAGTTTTTCGTGTTTTGTATTTGGTCAAATAAAAATGATTTTGATTGTCGATTATATATAAGTTTGTCTCAGCATCATAAGAGTTATTATTCGAGAAGGATTAAGTGATTCTGAGATTTCATAACTTTAATAATTTTGGTTGTTTTTTACGATAGAGAAAATAGAGAGAGAAAAATTAAATGAGAGATTAATTTACAGGTGATTAACAAAAGAGTCAAAGACATGGTGATTTTGGCGCCTTAAACTATGTTTAGATATCATAAAATGAATGAAGTAGAATGGAACTAAGTGGAATGTAGCGTAATTAAGATTTCATTCTATAGTTTAGAAATTTTAGAATTGAAGAAGGAAAATTCTTCATTCCACCAAAATCGGGGTGGAAGAAATATGGCATTAAGTGATGGAATAAAATGGAATTCATACAATTATGTTATGTTCCACTCTATCCGATTTTAAATGATTGATAGAATATCTCTTCATTTCACCTCATACAACTATGTTCCACCTAATTTCATCAATTCAAATAAAGTCTTAAAGTCATTGAAACTAATCTTGTATTATTCATTCATTCTTACAAGTTACACATCTTTGACTTTATTAATTTAGATGTTTGAGTGTTAACTTTGCAAACACATGATCTACTATATTATATCGATTACTTGCATCATCGTATCGAAAGAGTTTTATACTTATACATCTGCACAGAAGTTTAATTGATTGTTTGATTTTTTTCTTATAATTGATCATTTATATTATTGACTTGATTGCAATTTTGGTTCCTCTATTATTTAAATTTTTATTTATTTTAATCCCTCCATTTTAAAAATTGGTTTTTGTAATCCCATTATTTTGTTTTTTTAAGATTTTAGTCCCCCTTCAATCTTGAGAGCATTTTTAATGACATGCCAATTATAATAATGAGTTTTTAGATTTTTCTCTTTAGATATTACTCTCTAAGTCGCCACTTTTTCATGTTCTCTTGTTGTGTCTCATATTCCTGCATTTTTGACATTTCACTATTTGAAAAAATTTAGACAAAGTATTTGTGTTTCTAGGGTTATCAATTGTCTTGTTACGTAATATTTTGATGTTGGTTTATTGTGTTTCACTTTATCCACTAATTATTAATGTATTATTTAAAGTTTGTGAGTTCAATCCATAATTTTAAAATGAAAATAATTTTGTGAAAAAATAAAATTTTCAATTCTAAATTTTTAAAATTTGAAAACTTATATCTAAAAAGAAACATTAAATAGAGAAAAAGAAATGACAATTTTAATATGTTTGGGAACTAACGCTACAAATTTAATATCTTTATGTTTATGTGGCAAGCTTTTGTTTATTGAATGTGTTAACAAGATTCACGCTACAAATAGTATTTCAATATAAATCATCAATCATGTGGAAAAAGTAAATTTAGAGGATTAATATAAGAAAATAGTCGAGCTTATGAAAGTTTTAATCTTCTCTTTATGAAAGTAATCTTACTATAGAATTGAATTTTAACTTTGCAAATTAATGGTGGTGTAATTTCAGAAATATTAATTTTGAGTGAGTCATAGAGTCACATATGGAAAGAGAACAAAGCGAGTATATAGTCTATAAAGACGAAGAGTGTCTGGGATGAGGTGTAATTCGACTAAAGGTCAAGGACGATGGTCATTGTATCCGGGCAGCAGTGCATCTATTCTACCAACCCGAATATTACATGTAACCGAAATTCATCTGCTCAGAGTCGACTAGCAACCCGACCTATTAATGATTGTAATGGTTGTCGGCTTATTAAATTCAGCATTACGTAGTCTTGAAACACACTCATTCATAGTGACGGCGGCAGTTATGCTGTTAGGAAGTCAAAGAATCATCTCTTGAATAAGGCTCTTAATGGTGCAAAAGAAAGATTATATAAAAGACTTCTCTCAAAGAGATAAACAATATTATTAATGTAAAACTCAATTCATCTTGAATCAATACACATTATTAATGTAGCACTTAAATTCCCACAAATACTACAAAAATTTATCCATTAAAACTCTTGTTGTTTTTACAAAGAAACCGCTCATTTAATATTTTTCGCAAACAAACATATATTGTAATTAATATTTCAATTTAAATGAAACCAGAATAACTACTCATGCTCAAATTTATGATGAATGTATTATGTATATGCATGTATACTTAACTCCCAAGAGAATTGTGTATTTAGATTCAAGGTACAATAAGTACAAACAGAATGTGCAATCATCTATACAAACAGACACCTCCATTGATTTTAGATATTTTCAAAGTTACGTCCAAAATCTCATTGAATGAAAGATTAAACACTCATGTTTTAAATTGTATTTTAAAATCAAATTGGTAAAGTTTCCTAAATTTGATAACAAAATAATATTTTTGGCTAGGTTGATATTTTTAATGGGAAATAACCCAAATCCATTATTTGAAGAATTTCTTTTGTTTCAAGAAATATTATGGGGCCATCTATTATTAATGATATACATGTGCATCACACATGCATCTTCCTGAAGTGAGTACTGTTTGGGGTCAGAGTGAGGAATGCAAGTTGAAGATCAATTTAGGAAGAAGTAATGGCAAAATGCACATGATGCATTGCATACTTTAAAGACATTAGTAAACAAAAATTGAAATGAGAATAAGAAGGTCCCGCTCTTGACTTCATGCTCATAACATGATTGGTTTTATCTACAATGCAAGCAAAGTTTAGTTATGTTTAGATTCCTACTGCTCCATTGTCCCATCAAAGTATCACATTTGCAATTTTTTTCTATGTCAATGATTGTTATTGTGAAAAATTGTTGTAATATTAAGACAATAAGCTTAACAGTCAAAATACAAAACAAATGAACAAATCTGAATGAGAGCTAAATATTTATAAATAAATATGTTAGTTATTGAGAATAATATAACATTATTCATTTCCTTTGCAAATGGATTCACAATCACTTTATAGGACTGTCGGTTTCATTTCAATCTTCAAATACTATCTAAAATAAAACAAAGAATAGATAACATAAAAAATTATAAAATTCAAAGATAAATTTGGACTAAATTTGCAGAGTGAAAATTATTAATTATTAAATTACTAAATTTGTAGAGTCTCTATTAAGAGGACCCTTCCAAGACACGGAATTTTTTAAGTAAAAGGTGAAAGAATAATTTGCTATGTCATCATCACATATTTTCATGGTTATAACATACAAAGGTCTATTTGTTAAACTAAATTAATTTTTATCTTTGATTATTTTTTCTGCTATTTGTTTAGTTTATTTTGTGTGTGTTTCGATTTTTCCAAAATATGACCGTTAGTCCTTTTTCTATATTTAAAGGGATTCTCCTTCTGTAATAGATAAGAAATAGTGAATAATATTCATCTGATTTTTCTCTTTCTTCATTTTGCTATTGTTACTCTTTTATGAGTTACGAAGAAAATCAATTTAACATGATATCAGTGAGGATACATTTTTAAGCTTCCCGTGTTAAAATGATTTTCTTCCTAACCCTATCTTCTTCCCCATATTTCCTCCTTATCTTTTTTCACGTGTCTCTTTTTCCTACATCATTGTCACGCTCTCTTTTTCCTTCTTTGTTTTCATTTGTTCATTCTTTCTGCGTTTTCTTCTTCTTTGCATCTATGGCTTCTAATGAAGAAACATCACCACCACCTACACCACCATCCAAAACAAAATCATCCAACCAACGCCACACATCGAACAACTACCAAACGAATATGATGAATCTGTATTTCATGCATCCCGACGATAACCTCAGTATCACAATTGTTTATCCTCATCTAAACAACCTCAACTACCATTCTTAGAGTCGTTCCATTGTCGTCGCGCTCCGTTCCAAGAATAAACTTGGTTTTCTTGATGGCACACTTCCTCGACCTCAAGATTTTGATCCCCTTACTCTTGAATGGGACCGTTGCAACACCATGGTCATGGCTTGGGTTACGAACTCCATTGAACCTGACATTGCTCAAAGCATTCTCTGGATGGACACCGCTTTTGAGATCTGGACGGAGCTTCGTGATTGTTACCATCAGGGCGATATATTTCGCCTTTCTGACATCCAAGAGGAATTGTTCAACCTCAAACAAGGAGGCCTCTACTACCTTCGTCTGTCGCATCAACAAAATCATCCTAACCTTGTTTTTTCTTATCCTGCTAGTTCTAGTAATACCAATAAATGTAACTTGTGGCACCATTGTTTAGGACATGTTTCACACGACATTGTTACTCGTATCAATAAAATGCACCCTTTACAATATTTTAAACATCATAAAACTCCATGTGATTCTTGTTTCTCGGCTAAAATCAAATGCCTTCCATTCCCTCATAGTCACACTCATTCTAATACTTGTTTTAATATTGTGCATGTAGATATTTGGGGGCCCTATTCTACCCCTTCCATGTTTGATATCATTACTTTCTTACTATTGTGAGTGACCATAGTCATTTTTGTTGGATTTTTCTAATGAAACTTAAATCTGAAGCTAGTCACTTAGTTAAATCCTTTG